TGTTTTCTTTTTTTATTTATTTTTATTTTTTTTACAGTTTTAGAATTTTTTTAACATTTTTTATTGATTTGTAATCATTTTACAATTTTGTGTCAAATTCCAGTGTTCAGCACAATTTTTCAGTCATTCATGGACATATACACACTCATTGTCACTTTTTTTCCTCTGTGAGTTATCATAACATTTTGCTTATATTTCCCTGTGCTATACGGTGTAATCTTGTTTATCTATTCTACAATTTTGAAATCCCAGTCTATCCCTTCCCACCCTCCACCCCCCTGGTAACCACAAGTCTGAAAGTTATTGTTTTCTTTCAGAAATTTCAATAGTGAGGAACTTTTACATAGCTCTAGGTGTAATGCTCTGAGACCTAAGTTTTGGTGAACAAATCTAGCAATTGATCACATTCATTTCTGCTCAAGAGTAATGGAGAACTTCCATTAAAAGTGATACTTTTAATCCTGTATCACTAATTGTTGTGAAGAATAATACACAAACCACCTCAAATGCAGCAGCCCCACTGCAGCAAAACTTTCTACCTAGCCCTGACCCTAGCCAAATTGAATTCTAATCTACTGTGGTTAGCATAATGCAGAACATCCCTAATTAATCTCTTCTGTTATATCCAGTACTTGTTATTAAAATAATAAGCTGACAAAGAGACAACATATTTTTTGGAATGGAAGCAAGCATTCATGATAGACAACATGTGGCAAGTTGGGTCATTCGAGGAGGTATGGACACTCAAGACTTGGTAAAGACCATCAAAAGGATTCCCAAACTAGACTCAAGAAACTACTCATTTGTGTGCCCTGGAGGAGGAAGTGCCTTGTGTAACTGACATCTTTTCCCAGAGGAGAGGGGAAAATAAGCCCCCTTTGTGTCTTCTATCAAGTGTTCCCAGCTTTGTTGTGTTTCTTCTTTACTCTGTGTCTAATAAACTGTTCATCTTATTCATTTCAGCTCTGCTTTCATCTTTGCATTTGGAAGGTGAGTGTGTGGCCTTGTCTGTAGCTTGATGAGAAGCATCTAGAGACCACAAAGAGGAAAACAAGAGCAAATATGGGAGAACAGAGACATTGGGAAGATAAATAAGAATTAACAGAGGTCTGGGAAGAAGGAAAACCCCAAAACCAAGTTATTATTTTCTTCATATACTGTGTGAAGAATTTGGGAGACCTCTTGTGCTCAACGCATCATTTGCTGTCTTTGGATGCCCAGTTCATTTCTGTGCTTTTGACAATTTCATTTTGATCTTCCTGTCTCCTTTGTTGCTGGAGGCTGCCCAGCCTGCTCTGTGCTGGTCAATACACAGTCTGTTGCTGTTGTCACTTCCTTGTCATCTTTATGTGCAGTGCCATAGGCATTCACATCTTGTCAGCCACGTCACTACTCTACCTATCAGCATTACAGTTGTTTCCTTCTTGATAGATACCTTTGGAAATTGGTTAACATTTTTCTTTTGCTTTTAACCATGTGAGAATGTCACCTTATGAACCAGTAGAAAAAAATAAGTTAAGAGCTTAGAAAACAGGGAAAATGTAGATTAGTAGAAATAAAATTTTCCCATTAAAATGCTGAGCTTGAGGATTATTGAAGCCAAATGGATAGATGACACAGAATACAAAGTGGAAGTTAAGATAGCCTGTTTTCTTCCAAAGGAAATACCAAATTGTTCTGTGCCCATTTCTAAATTAATTCTTTAGCCTGATTGCTTCTTTCTGGGTTGTTCATGCACCATCAGGCATAGAACACAGAGCTGCTGTACTGAGTCAGATATAGTATGTTCTTTTGTCAGCTGAGCAAGAGGGTTTCATATGCTTCCCCCAGTGGCACTGGTAAATGGGGGCCTATCTCATCATCTTTTTGTAGGCTCTTATGGCTGACATGTGTAGATCTATTCAAATCCTTTTAGCAGTTATTTCAATCACTTCCTTACAAGGTCATGTATAGTTATTATTCTAAGTGTAAAGTAGGACTCTTATTTTTAGTTTAGTTTAACATTATTTAAACATCTCTTATGGGGAGGTAGGTGTGCTAGCTGTCGGAGATGGCAAGATGTAGAAAATGTCTTTGCATTTTGATTTAGTCTGGCAAGGAAGATAGACAAGATATATTAATATAAATATAATATAATATAAATATATAAATATAAAGTTTATGATTTCAATTGTATATTTATTGCAGTTGATGTGTTTGAGTTGCATTCTTAGGTAAAGATGTTTAGTAGACAGTTGCCTGGACTAGTCTGGAACTCAGAAGAGATTTTTGAGAAGCAGATGTAAATCTAAGAGTTGCCAGTATTTCTATGTGGGTGCCACTGGAAGCTGTAGATACTTGATGAGATTGTCCATAGAGAGTAGTGAAGTAAGAAGGGAGGACAGTGAAGAGCAGGACCTCGGCAAGTCAACAGTGAGGCTGGAGGAGTAAGAGCAGATGGAGGGACTGAAGTAGGACCAGGAGAGACTGGGGGTCTTTCCTGTGTGTAACCAGAGACAGCTGATGACTGTTAGATTGCTTAGATAATGCCTCCCCTCTGGAGGGGATGAAAAATGGGGCTGAACAACGGTCATTCTGTGAATCTCTGAGCAGAAGTGGCTGGTAATACAGGAAGTTTCCATTTCTAGGAAAGTTCTACTGACACAAAGGTGAGCAAAATTCCCACTTTTTCACCTACCCCATGATTCATCTTCACTTCCCATTTTCTTTGCTCTGTCTCACTGCTTTTCTTACTGGTAGACAGTTTCCAGTTTCACCACACCCTTTTTGTGAGAGGCAATCAGAATAAACACAACTGTTCAAATATGGATGAACCACAGCTTTATGTAAAGAAAGATCATATTTTCTGATTATTTCTTACACTAAAGATTATTGACCTCATCTACTGCAAAGGTAAATTGTTCTTATTTTATAAGAATCTAGCTTTCTGCAGTGATTCTTGGTTCCTTTACTGGGTTGTAAAAAACAGCTCTCAACTCTTTATTTTATATGCCCTTTGCAGCCATGGATAGAAAACAAAAACAAGAAACTTTTCCTTCACTGTCTCTGTGGGCAAATTCTTCTATATCCTAAATTTCTCCTCTCTCACAGAGCTTCCCTCCATGATTTAGGATTGTAAACGTTCCTATTTATTCAGAAAATCACAGCAATATCCAGTGCATCTCATTTGTATTTTATATGACACATGGATAGAACCACCAACAGTTTGAATACAGATATATGAAATGAAAGTGACTTGATCATGCACTTGGTGATGTAAATTATACATAGATGAGATGTGTTCCTATTAGCACACACTTTCTCTTTGTAGAGAATTAGAGTTCATTGTTTTCTTTGTGTCCCTGAACTGAATCTTTTTGACTTCAATTCCCAAAATGTTTGAATTAGTTTCCGTATTGACTAATGCTATGAAAGCTGTCTGCCATCTAAGTGAAATGAGCATTTTAATGTAAGGTAAATGTCATCGATCAGCATAAACTACTTCTCTTCTTTGGGTGTTATTTTTCAGGCAAGAATAAACCACAAAATAAGAAAATATCTGAGAAAAAATGTAGCACTAGTTTCAGAAACGAGATTCCTTTCACAATATGAAAACATTTTTCCTTTGTGAGAACTATTGAATTTGTGTAGTTTTCTACAGAGTATATGTAGAACCTGTGATGTAAACCTTGAAACATGAGATTGGCTGATGCTCCTTCCTGTTTATTACCACTGAGCAAACTAACACAAATACCTGGCATCTTTGAGAGACCCACGTGCAGATTTATACTATAATTATTAAGAATTTTTTTTACTGAGTTTTTCTATAATTATAGGTTCACATTTCTTCAAAAGTAAAGAAATTAGACTGTAACAAAAGAACAAGGACTGAACTATATTAAAAGTAGCTTTAATTTGTAAAATGTTGAAGCTCTATAACTGCAGATTCCTGGATGTTTTGAAAAATCTAGTATCTCAGATGTCTGTTTTTTACTTTTATTCCCTTTTCGACCTTATTTCTACTTAAATATGCTGCTTATTGCTTAGCAGCCATGTTGGTACTGCCATGTGTCTTCTATAACTGAATAAATAGGCATGCAGTAAATAAATTTCTCGTAGGATCCTTCAGATCCTTCAGGAGCTGATCAAAATGTTGAAATGCTGTGAAAGCTAGGCAAGGAAAAGACTTTGGCTGCATTAAGAACGCATGAAGGCACCATCAATTTCAAACATGAGTTCAAACATATCATGCAAATCTCACTAGCAACAGTTGTGATCTGATATCTCATTTGGGTTTCATCCCCAAGTGCATTACTGTTAACTGTGAAGTAGTTCATTTGATTGTTACCATTGCTTCCTCTAACTGGACAAAAAGTTGTTCTTACTTGAACATTTCTTTCAATATTATGATTCATCAGCCAGTTTTACTATCCTAAGTCAATTTTTAAATGCCTTTTTTTAAAACACATTTATCTGTTGATTAAGACTACTTTACCTAAGTCTACACACCATCCTTCATGAATGGATAGGATCTGTGTTAGAAGTTCCTTTCACTTGCTGTAAAAATTTATTGGCTAAATGTAATTAAACGTTTTAGGGCGATATGGTAATTTCCAATCCAGTGTTCCCCTGTCTTTGTGCACGACTTTATGGCCAGGTGTCATAAAGGGTTACTCAGGAAAAAGCAAAGTTCAGAAGCTGTAAAAAGAATATGTTTATTAGATTCCTTCATCTGAGTATCATTAAGGAGACTTTTCAGGGTCTCATTCACTGGTGCTCGATAAGCATCACTGATGAATTGGGTGGTAATTCTGCCCCAGGGTCCAGTCCCATCACCTGTCGCAGGTTCGAGAGGTTGGAACCGGCCACTCAATAAGGCTAGCAAACACCCTCAAGGTCCTAACTAAAATGTTGTTATTGATTCAATAGGTGGCTCATCTTTCTACAGTTCAATATCTTTAACGAGCATTCTAGTCCAATATTTTTAGGTAACACTTCTTTTCTTTTCTTTTTTCTCTCAGTGTAAGAAGACAACTCGATTCCATTATAATTTACATGGCCACGATGATATGATCCTGAAACAATTAGATGTAAAAGGAAATATTCTCACAGTTTAGGTATGTGCTGGCATGTTTGCTTGTTTGATTTCTTTCTCCTTTTATTCCCCAATGGTATGATTCTAACTGGTATGATCCTTTTTATTCCCCATAGGGTTATTTGGTATGATTGTTTTCTTTTTGATGAGTTGACCATTTGATGGAATTCTCTTTCACTTTTGAACTTTGGCTGTGCTTGTGATCTGTAACACAAATGGATCCTAGAGAAGGAAGGAAAGTTGGAGTTCACTTAGTCTGAAACCTCACCCCTAAATAAAAACTTCCTCTACAACATTTAAAATGTTGTTTGGGTTCTATTGAACGCTTCCATTATGGTGGTTCTCATTTCTTCAGGGGACAGCCAATTTCATATTCATATTTTTTTCTTATTTTGAGCCAGATTCGCTCTCCTATACCTTTCTCTTACCCCCATTCCATTGCTTTCAGTTTGGTGCTCTAACACTTGCAAAATATGTTTATTTCATCTCATATGACTGCTATTACAGATATTTGAAATTAGCTCTACTTAGACTCCTTTTTAGTTAAGACATTAGGTAATTCTTTCAACCATTCTTCAATAGGAGAGCAAAATTTGCCAACCCAAAATATCTTGTTAGCATACGGATTATTTCAAGCTGAAAACAATCAAGACCCAAAAGACTCAGAAAAACTTTGACCTTCCTTCTAACTGTCTGAAATAATTTAGATAGAGAGCTTGTTTCTGGAATCACCATAGATACCTGCAAAGGGCATGGGCTAGGTGTGGTGGGGGAAACTCTTCAGGGCCTTGAGATCAGGGTCTACTCTGTGTACCATTGTCTCTACATGGTTCAGCAAACATTTGTTTACCAAATATTTGCTTTTCCATTTCCATGTTAATTGCCTTCCTCCTCTTTGAAGTCCCAAATGACTGCTCCCAACATCCTCCTTTATCCTTAGCTGAAGACGGTATTTAAGGTGAGAGTTTCAACCATTTTGGTGAGTTACTCAGTTTCCTTGGGTCTCTCCCATGTATTCATGTTATTTAATTAACTTTGATTTTCTCCTGTTAATCTGCCTCATGTCAATTTAATTGTTAGACTAGCCAGAAGAACCTAGAAGGGTAGAGGAAAATTTCTTCCTCCCTGACATTTCTCATATTATAGTTTTCAACGTTTAAGAATCCAGGCTATTTTCTAAGTGTTCATGAGGTAGTTCTCATACTCATTAATCTCTTCCGTAGGTAGTTTTAGGACACTTATTTACTTTAACTCTTAGTACAGTTCTCATGGACAGTCTCCACGTTTTGTCTTTCTTGAAATACATTTGAGCATTTAGCACAGATTGTGTCTTTTACACGTGAGTGTTTAGAATAAATACTTCGTTTTTAAATGAAAGAATTAAAAGAATATTACTAAAATAGGATTGTTAACCTTCTGAATCAATGAATTGTCTGAAGCACCTAGTTGTTTTTATAGCTACTTAGTTATATCCTTATGGTGTATTCATAGGGTTAGAGAGTTGGAAGGGAACTCTGAAATTTAATTAGTCCAGCCCTGCTGTCACTGGGGCCTGGTGTTCGCTGGAAGCCTTATTTTCATGGAAGGTAATTGAATCCCTGTGGGTTTCATAGGATCCCTCTCTTTATCCTGGCTTTACTGGGTATATAATTTCAGAGTAATAAAGATCAAATTATATTGAAGTTGTTAGGATTCTGTATCTCCTTACTAGCTTACTATTATTTTTATAGCTTGATGTGATTTATTTACTTGATCATGCCTAACTGTCCTGTTCTTTTTTCTGATGCAGAAACTGAAGTGTATACATGGCTAGATTAAGAACCCAAAGTCAGACAGCTATTAGGGGCAAAGCTGGATGCCCTGGATATGTTGTATCTTTGCATTTCCAGCACAACATAGTGCTTTTCTCTCAATATATGTTTGTTGTTTCATATACTAGTATCTCAATAAATATTTGTTGGAGGAATATATATATTTCTTTGCCTTTAAAACTAAAACAATTTGTATTTGTTTCATAGTTATTTATGTGTTGAGCCTAAAAGGCTAAAGTTTTACAAGGCTTGTAATAAAAAAAAAGTACTGATTCTCTCATCCACCTTTTGCTATCACTAATTATGAGTTTCAGGGACAATTTTCAATATTTTTTTTCCTGCTAATTCTGGAATTTACCCCCAGCTGACTAAAAAACATACTTATTTGTATATTTAGGTTTTTGGTTTCACTTCTTATTATAGAAGGTAAGGATTTAGTTTCTTACCTCCCTCCTCCCACACACATGTATTCTCTCTACCCTTCTCTCATCCATCTAGTATACCTATATCACGACTTTTAGTAATTCATGTTTAGTGGTTACTTTATTATGACAATGTAAATTTTTTTCTTCTAGTTTTATTGAGATATAATTGACATACAGCACTGTATGAACTTAAGGTGTATAGCATAATAATTTGACTTACATACATCATAAAATGATGTATATAACATATAGCAGTGTTAATTATATTTACCATGTTGTACATTATATCCCATGAAGACATTTATATTATGCTACTTTGTAATTTGCAGAGTTGTTGAGAAATGCTTTTCTTTTGATGTAAACTGATTGTTTTTCCTCTGAAAATATTTAGAAGCTTGTCTTTGTCCCCACTGTTCTGAACTTTTGTGATTATGCCCTTTGCTGTTGTCTCATTCCAATAGTCATGCTGGGAATTTGATAGATCTTTTGAATGTTTTCTTCTCAATTCAGTAAACTTTCTTAACATTTTTCTTTGGTAATTCCTTTGTTATGGTTTCTCTTATCTTTGTGTCTGAAACTCCTATTAATTGCATGTAAAATTTCTTAACTTAATTCTCTATTTTCTTTTCTTATATTTATCCTTTCTTTTCTTCTTTCTGAGAAATTTCCTTAACTCTACATTCAAACTGTATTAGTGATTTTAAAAATTATTTTCTTTTTAATTTCCAAAGTTCTTTTGCATTTTTGAATGTTCTATTTTAATATTCTTCTGTTCTTATTTTATGAATGAAAAATATTTAATTATTTAATTATCTCTCTGTGGACATTCTTGTAATTTTAAAAATGGGGTTTTTTTCCCTCTTCCTTGCAATGTCTCTTATTCTTCAGGTTTTTTCCTATTTGGGTTTTTAAACTTGTCTCATTTAAAATGTTTCCCTAAATTGGTGATGATCTTGGCTGCTTGTTCATTTTCAAGATTATAGTGTTACATAGCTAATTTGTGTAATTATGTGGATAGGGCTTATCAGTTGGTAGACTGCATTGTAAGATGGATGGTCCAAATGGGCATTTTGTTGTGATTCCCTAAATAGTATTTGTGTGGATTTTCTCTTGGATTGTTTCTTTCCTGGAGACAGTAATCCTTCAATCATCTACTAGGCTAAATGAAGCATCTCACTGTTTGACATCTCACTTTCTTTAAAGCCCCTGCTTTTTGGAGTGTCCTCAGTACAGATAGTCTGGTAAGTCTAGTAATCCTTAGCACAAACTCTCTCCAATGGGAAACCCCAAGAAAGAGAAGCTGTCATGTAAATATGAAAGGTGGAGTATTCTAGGAGTCTAAGTGCTTCTAACTGTAGGCTTCCAACCAATTTAGTTTAAAGCCCATTCCTAGCCACTGTCAGAGATGACTACCGCCTTTTACTTTAGTCCTTCTGGGGTTTTGGATTTCTGTGGTGTGAATCAACTAGCCAGGTCAAGAATGTGTCTGGTGAAAGAAAAAGGGGAGGGGGGAGTTTGAAGACCATTCGAGGCCCAGAGAATAGTTTGTGCAGCATGTCATCAAATATTCTTTTATATATATTTTATTGGCTTTGTAGTATTTTATTATAATAAACAATGATGTAATAAGTATCTTTTTACGTATAATATTGCATATTTAATTTTTTTAAAAAATTAGCATTAATTTCTAGAAGTGGAAAGTCTAGGTCAAATTCTGTGCAACATTTTAAGGCTTGAGATAATGGAATGGAAGAATTTGAATATTCCTTCCTGCTAGAGGCCCTTACCACTTTCATCTTGAACCGTGGTCTGAATTCTTCAGAGAGGAGGAAGAAAGAAATGACATGTATAAACAGCTCAATTAATAAATACGTTAAAGGCGTCTTTTGGCAAATAATTTCTTGCTGCCTCCTTCCCTGGGTTCTTCCAGAGAAGCTTTCAGGCCAGGTAAGAACCAGTTCTACCAAGGAGTTTCTTTAGGACTAACAATATCATATATATGTATTTTTAAGTTGAAAAGGCTTATTTAAAAATTTTTGTCTCTTTCTGACTGACTTCTTTTGGGTAGTCCAGATGAACCAGCACAGAGCTTTTTTCTTTAAAAGAGATTTGCCAGTTTCAACTGAAAGCAGATTATAGTTGTTTATTGCTGCAGTTGGTGTTCTCAAACCAACTTTTATGAAGTAAAATGTTCTTTGATTAGAATATATTAAATTTAAAAACCGTATTAAGAAAAGGTCAGAGAGAGAGCACAAATGTTAATCTAAAAACAATCACAACCAAAAATCCCTAAAAGGACAGGCTTCAGAGAGCTTTCGGGCCGGTGAGTACTTGGGAGATGTGGGAAGGATGGTGCGCTCACAGGACAGGAGAGCTCCATGCTCCTTTCTGCATACCTTCTTACATCTGACTATGATGAGTTGTATCCTTTTATAATAAACTGATATTCTAGTTGAAAAAAAAGTTTTAAGGATTAAATGAGACTGTTGTTCTTCATGAACCTTTCATTCCTGTTTGTGACTGTGGCCAGAAAATTTGAAGCTGAGGTAAAAATAAAGGGAGGATAGGGTGAGCATGCTTTACTGAAAATGAGTTTTCAATTTCATACATTTTCCCAAAGCTATGTCTTTAAGGTGGATGTCAGTTTACAAAAATAACAAAGTAATAGTCATAATCTCAGATATTAATCAACTATTTGCTTTCCCCTGTAAATATTTTTTGGCACTCCCTTTTAAAAATCATTTCTCTATTTCTTTGAAACTATAAATATAATGGAAGTAAAAATA